AAACAAGCTATTAAGGTACTACCAAACAAGTACTAAAAAAAAAAGAGGAAGCATTCCATCCATCATTGTAGCAAGATATTTCCAAAGGAAGCACGAAAATAGTCTTCAGCACAAGCTTGAAACTTAAGTCGGAACGTTCGAAGACGAAACCTACTTTACTTAAGTAACAAAGTAGATGAAGACAACCTCTTTCATTGCGCATAATTAGCATGATTGTCGTAATAATTCGTTGCACGCCGAGCGTTTAATCCGCGTCATCATCAGTTCCTCTAACTACTCGAAAGTGTCTCGTTTTACTCATTATCGTAAAGTGGTGTGTAATTTCGTCGAATGCAAAGTACATTCGCTAAAACCAGTTTGCAAGCCCATTCATCAAAATTTTTCAAAATGTCAATTGCCCTCGCCGGAAATCCAATCTAAACAACAAGAAAATTTTAATGAGAACGATTTATTTTATCCTTTATACTCACTCACTCACTCCTAATAACCCTCGAATTTTTCGCCCGCGATAACAATCCGAAGTAAAAGTAACTTACGTAATCATTAGCTCGCCGTAAATTTTACTCTCGTGTTCAATATTTCATTTTTATAATTGGCAAACACATCTCCAATTATCTAATTAAATTTACGATTCAACTCTTTATCATAAAACCCGATCGCCGGGATGTTTATTTAATTATCTCCCTAACGCCAGAAAGACGTACCAGACGGCAAACGTGATCAATTTAAAAATACAGTTCCGTACTGGAACGTGATTAGGTTGTGGCCGGCTGAAATTCGGTTTGGGCCATTAGGAAAAAACGCAATTTCGGCGAGCACCTCGAGATTCGCAAGGACGTCACGAACGTAGCGGTTAAAGGATTTTAGCGCTAGCTCGAAAAATTGCTTCGTTCGGATTTCGAAGAGGCAACGGAAAAAAAAAGCAAAACGAGGGACTCGGGCTTCCGCGTTTCGCTTCCGCCACGAATTGACAACGCAGGAACGACTACAAGGGCGGGATTTTGGCGATGAATGCGGGGGACAAGGCGCCTTCGAAAAACATATATGAACAGCACAGGGCGGAAAAGCGAACCGTGTGGTACGCCGAAAAAAAAAACAGAAAAAGGAAACAAAACAGAAAATTCAGACGAAACACAATATTTTTTAAAGAAAGTTTTGTATAGAATTTCAGAAAGGGACCTATTCCAAAACAATTAGAATGACCGCTTTCTGGAAAATATCCGGTGTCATTCATATGAAGGAAAAATTATTTGGGGAAAAGTGAAAGTTGTCAGATAAATATGAAAATAGCTAACTTTACATCCCGGAAGCCACTTCTAACCTAAAAAATGCGAGCGCAGCGAGCACGTTTAAGTTACTAGAGTCATTCACACTTTAGAAGTTACAAAAAGTTTTAGCGTTCAACTTGTGTAGTAGATAATATAGAAGCTTTATTAATAATAATATAACTTCTCGTTGACACGTGCTCGCTGCGCACCATTTTAATCATGATTTTTTAAAGTAATTTCATAAAATTATTTATAAATCAATCGTTAACAAGATTCTTCAGGTTATGATGCTAAATTGGCCTAAAAAGAGAAACCAATAAAATGCGATTTGAGAATTTTCGTGTTTTAACGATTTAGGGGTTTTTGGTGTTATGAGGATCTGAGGAATTTTGTGTTTTGGAGATTTGAGGATTTTTGTGTTTGAGGATTTAATGATTTTGGTGTTTTGATGATTTGGAGAATTTTGGTGTTTTGAAAAATGGAAGATATTGGTGTGTTGAGGATTTGAGAATTTGGAGATCTTAGTGTTTTGAGGATTTGAAGATTTTGGTATTTTGAGGATTTGAGGATTTTGGTGTTACGATCATTTGAGGATTTTGATGTTTCGACGATTTAAGCATTTTGGTGTGTTGAGGATATGGGAATTTTAGTGTTTCGAAGATTTGAAGATTTTTATGTTTTGAAAATTTACGGATTTGGGGATTTTAGTGTTTTGAGCATTTGGGGATTTTCGTGTTTTCGGGATTTGGGGTTTAGTGTTTTGAGGATTTAATAGTTTTAGTGTTTTGATGATTTGAGGATTTTATTGTTTCAAAGATTTGAGGAGTTTAGTGGATTGAGGGTTTGGGGATTTCGATGTTTTGAAAATTCGAAGATTTTGGTGTGTTGAGGATTTGAGTATTTGGGGATTTTAGTGTTTCGAGGATTTGGAGAATTTTGGTGTTTTGAAAATTTGAAAATTTTGGTGTTTTGAGGATTTGAGAATTTAGGGATTTTAGTGTTTTGAGCATTTGGGGATTTTCGTGTTTTAACGATTTAGGGGTTTTGGTGTTATGAGGATATGAGAATTTTGATGGATTGGAGAATTGGGGACTCTATTAATTCCAGGATTTGAAGAATTTTGGTGTTTTGAAAATTGGAAGATTTTGGTGTGTTGAGGATTTGAGAATTTGGAGATCTTAGTGTTTTGAGGATTTGAAGATTTTGGTGTTTTGAGGATTTGAGAATTTGGGGATTACAGTGTTTTGAGCATTTGGGGATTTTCGTGTTTTAACGATTTAGGGGTTTTGGTGTTATGAGGATATGAGAATTTTGATGGATTGGAGAATTGGGGACTCTATTAATTCCAGGATTTGAAGAATTTTGGTGTTTTGAAAATTGGAAGATTTTGGTGTGTTGAGGATTTGAGAATTTGGAGATCTTAGTGTTTTGAGGATTTGAAGATTTTGGTGTTTTGAGGATTTGAGGATTTTGGTGTTACGATCATTTGAGGATTTTGATGTTACGAGAATTTGAGGATTTTGCTGTTTTGAAAATTATAAGATTTTGGTGTGTTGAGGATTTGAGAATTTGGGGATTTTAGTGTTTTGAAGATTTTGATATTTTGAGGATCTGAGGATTTCGGTGTTATGATGATTTGAGGATTTTGATGTTTCGAGGATTTAAGCATTTTGGTGTTTGAGGATATGGGAATTTTAGTGTTTAGAGGATTTGAAGATTTTTATATTTTGAAAATTTGCGGATTTGGGGATTTTAGTGTTTTGAGCATTTGGGGATTTTAGTGTTTTGAGCATTTGGGGATTTTCGTGTTTTCGGGATTTGGGGTTTAGTATTTTGAGGATTTAATAGTTTTAGTGTTTTGATGATTTGAGGATTTTATTGTTTCGAAGATTTGAGAATTTTAGTGGATTGAGAATTTGGGGATTTTGATGTTTTGAAAATTCGAAGATTTTGGTGTGTTGAGGATTTGAGTATTTGGGGATTTTAGTCTTTCGAGGATTTGGGGAAATTTGGTGTTTTGAAAAATTTGAAAATTTTGGTGTTTTGAGGATTTGAGAATTTCTGAATTTTAGTATTTTGATAATTTGAGAATTTTGGTGTTTTAACGATTTATGGGTTTTGGTGTTATGAGGATCTGAGAATTTTTATGAATTGGGGAATTGGGGATTCTATTAATTCCAGGATTAGGAGAATTTTGGTATTTTGAAGATTCGAAGATTCTGGTGTTTTGAGGATTTGAGAATTTAGGGATTTTGGTTTTTTGAGAATTTGAGAATTTTGGTGTTTTAAGGATTTAGGGTTTTGGTGTTATGAGGATGTGAAGATTTTTCTGGTAGGAATTTAGGAAACTGGGTATTTTGAGAATTTGAAGATTTAGATGTTTTGAGGATCTGTGGATTTTGGTGTTATGGTAATTTGAGGATTTTGGTGTTTCGAGGTTTTAAGGATTTTGCTGTTTTGAAGATTTGAGAATTTTAGTGGATTGAGGATTTCATTCTTTCGAGGATTTGGAGAATTTTGGTGTTTTAAAGATTCGAAGATTTTGGTGTTTTAAGGATTTAGGAGTTCTGGTGTTATGAGGATATGAGGATTTTTCTGTTATGACGAGAGAATTTGAAGATTTCGGTGTTTTGAGGATCTATGGATTTTAGTGTTATGGTGATTTGAGGATTTTGTTATTTTAAGTATTTGAGCTTTTGGAGATTTTAGTGTTTCGAGGATTTAAGGATTTTGGTGTTTTGAGGATATGGAAATTTTTGTATTTCGAGAATTATAGGAATTTACCAAACCCTACTCTATATACGGGGCACACCTTTCGACGTCGTTCAAACGTAGGATGGAAATCAATTCTCTTCGTGGAAATATATGTTGACCAATTCCCATTTTTCTCAAATATATAGTTTAAACTATGATTTTCGTCTGCGGGAAACAAGGCGCTTTCGAAAAATATACAAGAACAGCACAGGGCGGAAAAGCGAACCATGTGGTACGCCGAAAAAACAGAAATAAAAAAGTTTTAACGTTCACCTTGTGTAGATAATATAGAAGTTTTATTAATAATTCAACTTCTCATCGACACGTGCTCGCTACGCTCCATTTTAATCCTGATTTGAAAGCAATTCTCATAAAATGACTATGAAGCTAAATTAGCCTAAAAAAAGAAACTACGAAAATGCGAACGTAGGGAGTACGCCGAGGTTACTGGATCCATTCAAACCTTAATGTAACAAACAGTTTTAAAGTTCACCTTGTTTAGACAATATAATTATTTCAATAATAGAATACAAGATGTCCTTGTGAAATTAAATTTAAAAAAAATGATCGAAGGTATTTTGACACAACTTTGTAGAGAGGGGGGAGATAAAGTTTTATTACCAATTTAACATCCTTAGGTGAACCTTACAACAAAAATACAAAATTAAATTGTATTGTTATATTTTAAATTGACATAGACAGACAGACATACGACAGACAGACAGATGGAAACGTCTACGACTACATACTTACTCTTGGTTAAAAATTACCCCAAGAACCTAATTTAATATATCAGGTCTATAAAATGGCCATTTTTACAAAAAAAACCCATTTTGCAAATGTGTCTATCGCTTCCTTATCATGGGACACCAACCTTGGCAATGTCTAGTTCGCATTTTGATTCGCTATAGGTAGACAAAAGTTTCATAATATGTATTTAAAATGCTGATTACGAACCACAACGACGATAAATGAACATAAAGCGTTACTTACTCCGTCAGTAAAACAAGACAACATGCGACAACAATACCTAGTGGTATTCCTTTGTGTGTTTGCCTTTGTTCGACTGGAAGAAGGTAACTAAGATAAAAAAAAAGTGTTTTTGTTGTTCTTGTTTTTGAATCTGATGCTTTAAAAAAATGTTGTAGAACCTGGACTTGACTTGTCTCGAGTTTCTGAAGCTATACAACAAGATTTTTTCAATCTTTGCAACGGTATTGGTTTATTGCACAAAAACGTTCATGGGGATGTTGTGACTATCGATAACATAAAATTCTACTTATGGCGAACAAAAAAATCCAAAAAGTACACCATCCTGGACCCTCGTAACCCCACTAAATTAATCAACAAGAAAGCACAGTATGTTTTCTTTGTTCACGGTTGGTTGGAAAATGTGAATACTAGCTGGTACAACAATTTGAAACACTCGTTTTTCGAAATCAATCCAGAATTGTATGTGATTCAAGTGGACTGGTCAGAGTACGCCGGCAAGGATTATATCATAGCATTGTATGACACGCGAGAAGTTGGTAGGTCGTCTTTGAAACTAATGATCAAGTTTTCAAACTCAAAACACCACTCTAGGTAATCTTATCGGAAAACTGATTATTAATTTGCACCAAACGTACTCCGTTCCGCTGGATAATTTCATGGTACTGGTTGGGCATTCTTTAGGAGGACAGGTGTGTGGTTTTGCAGGCAAACATATAAAAAAATATCTTGGGAAAAAAATTCCAAGGATCGTAGCTCTAGATCCCGCTGGAGTTTTTTTCGAGGATGCACCTGAGAGCGAAAAACTGAACCCAGAAGACGCCTCAGTCGTCGAAGTAATTCACACCAGCGGTGGAAGGATCGGGTATAAGGAACCTTGTGGTACCATCGACTTTTTTCCAAACGGTGGTAGTTGGCAGGCGGGGTGTATCAAAGAAGCTATTTTTAATATGACTGACCTCAAAACGAAGGGTGACATTGTAGTTCTTAAATGACAGGACCTTTCTGAATGAGAGTTTCAGTTTCGTGCTCGCATTTTAGGAGCTGGCGGTTCTACATAGAAGCCGTAGCTAACCCCCAATCTTTTAGAGCAAGGAAATGCAAGAGCTGGGAGGATTATACTAAGAAACCGGATTCGTGTGAAGATGATTATGAGACGATGGGGGATTTACACACTCATAAACGGGGAAAGTACTACCTGATAACAAACGAAAACCCTCCGTTTTCTCAGTAACGCGACTACCCGGAAAGTACTACTCATTAAACTATTTTAGTAAAATTTGCATTGTAAAATACTACGATAAACAGGTGTTAAGGACACGTGGTTTTTGTCGACTTTGCAATTCGTGTTCGAGCGTTATTTACGTTTATATTTCCTGAAAGCAGCAACGAATGTCCGCATCAGCGAACGCGATCCGAACACAAAGATCCAATCTCCCATTATTTAGCAAAATAAACAGTCATTATGAAAATCAAGCACCTTTATCGATATCTTGTTTGCCAGCAGCAACAGAATCTGAATTTCTTTACAAATTGCTCTAATTTTTCCAAAGAGAGGCGATAGCGCCTATCGCGACCTGCAATCAGCACTTCAATCAGATCTGTCACGATTTGTTTTTGCTCGATTTCGATTTTTTAAATTACACATCCATCCGTCTCTCTCGCCGTTTCATTCAATTCCATTTCAGGCTGAGTAAGCGCTGTGTCAAAAAACTGCAACGAATCCGTTACGCAAAAGAAACAATTTGCCGTTGAGAGAGATATAAACGATCAATCAGGCAACGAACTTTACCTACCAAACATTATGAAAGCGATTCAGACACTAACTGTACAAATAACATGTGTGTTTGCTTCTGTGCGGTTTAGATAAAAGTTCGCAGAAAACTGAACGCGGATGCGGAGATTTAGTTTTCAGCGCTAATCGATAGAGATTGTCTGTCTCGCTCTTTTTTTGAGATGGTCGGCGATTAGTAAACGCGAGTTTTGTTTTTTCAGACACTTTCAACAATGGATTGAATCTCAGCAGGATTAATCCGTTCCTTATTTATTTTCTTTTAATTACCGCCGTATTTTGTGCACTCCGTGCCGTTTTATCGCCGAAATCTCACCGGAAACCGCACTTCGAATAGGAAATGTAATCGCGGCCAACCTAATTAAGCTTAATAAAAGAATTTAACAGTAAATGCACAAATGCCATGTTCTTTTTCAACAATTAAGATCGTATCGGCTATTGCAGGAATGATCTACGACCGCTACTGTGCTTCGCATTTATCATTCAGAATTTCTTCAGAAGCGAATTCCTGGTAAAAAACGAATTTCACACTATCCTTAATACGCGGTTTTTGCATTCCATTACTTTTTTCGCCATTAAACGCTGCTGTACGCAAGCCGCGGTCCCGTTTTGAGGAATTTACATCTAATCTGTAATAAATATAAAAATCTTAATTAAATTTTTAATTCGATGAGGTGGTGATCGATAATTTATTCGGCCGAATTCATTAGTGGCGGGATTTCTGTCAACTTTATTATTTTAGTAGTTGTTCAATTAAGGAAATTTTATCGGGGAGTTTATCGCTAGATTGTTGTTTATGTTGGGTGAACCGTGATTGTAACGATACACCAAAACTTAATTAAAAATGTAATTAATGACTGTGGTGTTTTCGCAACGAAATTTAATACGTCGCGACGAGTTCGTTATTTTTGCGAAATTTCGGAAACAGTTACTTTTTTTGCATTAATGTTGTACTTGTAATGATGCAATTAACATAAAATAAAATTTATATTTATGTGGAATAATAATAATGTTTCAAGAAAGCTCACCGCTGCAGTAGGTTTGGTGACTGATTTATACTAGTGACAGATTACCAAGATTATACAGTTTTGTTTAATGCTGGAGGCGAATTTACATGTATTAGCATAATGTTATTCACAGATGAGCGCCTGTGTACGAAAGACTGTCCCAATTTACATCTAATGTAATTTTGACGTGAGCGCTTCTCCAAAGGTTTTGATGTTTTAAAACTGTAACGTAATTAAAATATTTAACACGCTTCAGATCATCCTGACGTATTCTGTTTATTTTTGGCTGTGGTAGAATCTTCTTTATTTTTTTTACCTTTTATTCTATTACTTAATCTATTTCTATTGTAGTTAATATGCGATTAATTCCACTAATTTGACGCAAAAATGTCAATTTTTTCTCTTGTGTTGCAACAAAATTTCGGTGACGGTCCGGGATTTCGCTGATAACGCGCGGGGGTGGCGTGCCTCAGTGCCAAGCCTTGGGCCGACTAGTGCCACTGACCAGAAACTCGTCTGTGCGGTCACCTTCACGCCACCGGAGGTTGCGCCTTTAGTCGGGAGCGGCGGTGCTCGGGCGCCAGCTTCCTCTCCGGAGACACGGATCTGGTCTGATGAGCGCCCGCGGAAGCAAGAAATAAAACGGAGGAAATTTTTAAACAATAATCGGGTTTCCGGCTCGCGAAAATTTGCTTCGTTGGATTGTTTCACTTCTGAAATTCCCTCCTTTGGTCATGCAACTAAATTTAGAAATTTTTGGTCTTTTCTGCCTTTAGGTGGCTATTACCTCGACAGACGTCACTTTATTAAAGAGAAACCACGGCGGTTTTCACATTAGGAAAAAAAGTCCATCGATTGCTCGATGAAGAGTTGTAGATTTTCAACAGAGCGTGATGTTAGGTATCAGATCATCTGATTTTAAAACTTATGTTTTGCTATTACAACCTATCGACAGATTAAATTTTTTTGCTATATTATTTCTATTCTTATTTCTCAGCTCGTTTTCCTTTTATTCAACCTTCTGCGTTCCTATTTTCTTTCCTTTTTCTTTTTACTGCTTTTTCTTCATTCTCCTGTTTCATATCTTCCATATTGCATATTTGCTGTGTACCATTTCGCCTTTTTTTCTAAATGTGTTTTCAGGTTTCTCCTTTTTTTTTCCTCTCACCTTATCATTTTTAGGATTTAGTGTGCCCAATATAATTTCTCACCTAACCTGATCTGAACTGAACTTGGACCTCACCTGACGCAATCGACTTATATTGCGGAAATGAGACGATTAGGTTAATTTTCTACATTCTGGCCTCTGTAGATACAAAAAAAATCGTCAAAAGAATGTCAAAAATGTTACTTTTCAATCTTATTTTGGTGAAATTTTATGAGTTCTGAAGTATATTTCGACATGTTTTGACGATTCTGATGGACCTGACGAACTTGCGATGTCTAGAATCAACTTAGTTTACGAAAAGGAGAAGACGGGTTTAATTTTTCACATCCTGACTGAAGTTGACCTGACTGGAACTGATTTAACAGGACGTTCCCTGACTTTAGTTGTCCTGACTTAACTAGCACTGACCTAGTTGTTTGAGAATTTGTGGATTTCAGTGTTTTGATAATTTGAGAATTTTGGTGTTTTAACGATTTAGGGGTTTCGGTGTTATGAAGATCTGAGAATTTTTCTGTAATGAGTATTTAGGAATTTTGTGTTTCGAGGATTTGAGGATTTTGGTGGTCTGAGAATCTGAGGGTTTTCGTCTTTTGGGGATTTGAGGATTTGGTGTTTGAGGATTTAATGGTTTTGGTGTTTTGAGGATTTGGAGATTTAGATGGATTGGGGAATTGGGGATTTTATTAATTCCAGGATTTGAAGATTTTGGTGTTTTGGGGATTTTGAGAATTTGAGAATTTAGGTGTTTTAAGGACTTGAAGATTTTGATGTTTTCAGGATTTGTGGATTTTGTTGTTATGGTAATTAGAGGATTTTGGTGTTTTATGGATTTGAGGTTTTAGGGATTTTATAATTTTGAACATTTGGGAATTTTTGGTGTTTCGAAGATTTAAGAATTTTGCTGTTTTGAGGATCTGGAAATTTTAGTGTTTCGAGGATTTGAGGATTTTGATGTTTTGAGGATTTGAGAATTTTAGTGGATTGAGGGTTTCATTCTTTCGAGGATTTGGAGGATTTTGGTGTTTTAAAAATTCGAAGATTTTGGTGTCTTGAGGATTTGAGCATTTGGGGATTTTGGTATTTTGAGAATTTGAGAATTTTGGTGTTTTGAGAATTTGAAAATTTTGGTGTTTTGAGGATCTGTGGATTTTGGTGTTATGGTGATTTGAGGATTTTGGCATTTTAAGGATTTGAGGTTTTGGGGATTTTAGTGTTTTGAGCATTTGGGGAATTTGGTGTTTCGAGGACTTAAGGGTTTTGGTGTTTTGAGGGTATGGAAATTTTTGTGTTTCGAGGATTTGAGGATTTTGGTGTTTTAAAGATTCGAAGATTTTGGTGTCTTGAGGATTTGAGAATTTGGGGATTTTGGAGTTTTAAGGATTTAGGGGTTTTGGTGTTATGAGGATATGAGGATTCTTCTGTTAGCAGGATTTAGGGATTTTGGTGTTTTGAGGATCTGTGGACTTCGGTGTTATGGTGATTTGAGGGTTTTGGTATTTTAAAGATTTGAGGTTTTGTTGACTGACTGGATCTGCCCTCATTAGGTCTGCTGTGATTAAACTGCTGCTCTGATTATGTTTGGTCCTACTGGACCTAATCTGACACAATTGACTTATTTTGCGAAAAGGAGACGATTATACTTAATGTTCGACATTCTGGCCTCTGTAGATACAAAAAATTCGTTAAAAGAATGTCAAAAATGTTACTTTTCAATCTTATTTTGGTGAAATTTTATGAGTTCTGAAGTATATTTCGACTTGTTTTGACGATTCTGATGGACCTGACGAACTTGCGATATCTAGAATCGACTTATTTTACGAAAAAGGGAAAACAGGGTTAATTTTTCGCATCCTGACTGAAGTTGACCTGACTGGAACTGATTTAACTGACTTTACTTGTCCTGACTTAACTAGCACTGACCTAGTCGGTCTGGGCGTGTTTTTCTCTGAACTGGACTTGGCCGGTCTAGAACAAACTGGTCCTAACTTGACTGGACCTGATCTGACTGGACCCGACCTGAGTGAACCAGACCTGACTACCTAACTTATCTGGACCTAACATGATCGGACTGGAAGGAATCAGAGCCAACCAAATTGGACCTGACTTGACCTGACTTGATTGAATCTTATCCGAATGGACGATACCTGACTGGACCTGACCTGATCGAACTTGACCGAACCTGACGTGACCGAACTTGACCGAACCTGACCTGACTGGATTTGCCCTCATTGGATCTGCTGTGATTAAACCTGTTCTGATTATGTTTGATCCTACTGGACTTCACCTGACAAAATCGAATTATTTTGCGAAAAGAAAACCATTTGGTTAATTTTCCATATTCCCTGACTGTGGTTAATGTTCCATATTCCCTGACTGGACTTTACCTGACTTTACTTGACTTTACTTGTTATGAGTAGATCTGACTTAACTAGCACTGGTCTAGTCGGTCTGGACGTGTTTTCCTCTGAACCGGACAGAAAAAAATGGCTTTGATTTGACTTAACTTAACCTAACTGCTCCCGACCTGAGTGGATCAGAAGGAACTGGACTTGTTCTCAGTGGACCAGACCTAACCTGGGAAGATTTGACCTATACTGGTTTATTTGGATCTCATCCGAATGCCCCTGACCTAACTGGACCTCACTTAATTGGACCTAATCGGACCAGAGCGACCTGACTGGAGCCGTCCTTTTTTTTCATCTGAACCGGACTTGATCGTACCAGAGCAAACTGGATCTGACTTGACTGCATCCAACTTAACTGGACCAGACCTGACTACCTAACTTGGCTGGACCTAACATGACCGGACTGAATAGACCAGATCAGACCTGACGTTTCCTCTCCTGTGAACCGGACTTAACTTGCGAAGAGTTAACTGGAGCTGACCTAACTGGACGTAACCTCCTGGACTTTACCTAACTGCACCTGACCTGACTGCACTTGACTTGACCGGACCTGATCTAACTGGATCTCACATAACTGGACCAGATCCAAGTACTTGACTTGACTGGACCTTACACGATCCAACTGGACTGACCTGACTGTAACCTACGTTTTTTTCTTGTGAATGAACTTGATCAGACCTGACCTGACCTGACCTGACTGTACGGTTTTTATGGCTGAGATCAAAGCGTCTACCGTTCTACTTGTGTATGAACTTGACATTTTCCCTCAACCGTCAAAATTTCGATCCTTCTGCACGCATTTTCTGCACCCTGTATACGTTCCTCCTCGTGAGAAATCTTCCGTTTAAAAATCCCCCTTGAAACAAATAAGCTTTCCGTCCGTAATCACGCCGTCCCATCCTTCGAATGCGAGAAAGCGTCGCCATAAAACAGTGTCGATTTGTCAATGACTGTTGCAGTGTAAGTTTAATCAAAAAATCAGGCGAAACGAGCAAACGTGCCTATGTTAAACAAGTTGCTTCTCGTGCCGACTGTGGGCGTATCGTCATCAGGAGCTGCCAACCGGCGGTTGACAAGTGCAGAGCTTACACGACTCGAATTGCACACTGTTTATCTTTGTTAAATAATGGTTAGTTGTGTTTTGTCTTCGGTACAGCTTCTGTTTACTCTCGTCCCATTTTCGAGAGCAGCCGCCCCCGTCGCCGCCGCGCTCCCACGACCCCGAAGCTCCCCCACGGAAAAATGCACAGGTCATTATCGCGCTCATCGGGAAAGGGAAAGTGGCCAAGAAACGACCGTGGCCTTTA